CAGAAGCTTTTTAATTTGAGGAGGTCCCAGTAGTATATTTTTGATGTTGCTTCAATTGCCCGGGGGGTCCTCCTCATAAAATTTTCGCCCAGGCCTATTTCTTCAAGAGTTTTCCCGGCAGGCGGAGCCAAGATGGCGAACTGCAGCCAGCTTTTTACAGAAGCTCCCGTCCAGAAGGAGGCTATGGAGTCCTGACTCTGGGGCATCTCCTGCAAAGAAGGGGAGAGGGAAAGGGCTGGTGTTGTTCTGTGCCGACTGTGGTGCCCGCGTGAGGAGAGGGGAGTCAGCTTGGGGGACACCAGTGCAGAAACCCCTGGTACGCCATCCTGAACGGCAGCACTATTCATGTTTTTATTATGTCCAATGATATCAGGGAACCCTCACAGGAAGGCTGTTATGATTAAAGTGCTTGGCCATTCCTGAAACAGTAAATTCTTCATGTTCTTAACTTTCTCAAAGATAATGTCATTTAACTTATTCTTGCGAATTTCCTGGCCATCACTTACACAATCTATAGAAGTCCTGAATCTGAAGATTCTTAGTAAAACTTGGCTTCTTACTGAGTACAAAAGAACCCTTAAGTCCTGTGCAGACGCCCGCTAGTCAGCAGGTACCACATACCCAGGCCCCACTCAGCTCCTGATAATGAGTAAAAAGAAAAACAAGACAGATCTCTTTTTTGTTACAAATTAATGTCAGATTCTTCAAAAGCAAACAGTGTGGTGAAGAAATCTGGTCTTGGCAGGAAACAAATGATTTTATCCAGCTTTGTCCTCTCATTATTCTGTCCCTTTCCTCCTGACCCTCCCCGTGAACAAACCAAGGAAACGCTCAGTAGCAGGTGCCAGTCAGCCATTAAGTCCAAGGAGGAGAGTTGATGGCCTTGTGCCTGGGTATTGTAGACAGTTCCAACTCAGCCCAAGTCCGTACTCGTCTCTTTTGCGTTTGGTGTCCTCATGGGCCAGCACCAACACCGTCTTCCCACAGACCTGAGAAATGTGATGGCTCCTCGGCTTTGCGGCCCTTCCTCTCTGCTCTTTACTGGTTCTGTTGACTCCTCTTTGGTAACGACTCTTACTCATGGTTCTGTGTTCTCCCAGCTCTGCCTTCAGGTGTAGATCAGTCTGTCGCCATGGCCTGCCCAGACTCCTGGAGCTCCTCCTGCCTGGTCACTGAGCTTCTGGTCTCACACTTCCCCATCCCGGACTCCAGGGTGGTCAGAACTCTCCTCCCAGGGCACACAGATCTGAGCATGTGACTCTCAGCTGTTACTTCTGTGACTGTGCCTACCAGGTGCTGTTACGGACACTTGTCTATAAGCCTGGTACTTCTTCCGTTTGACAGGTTTCTTGACAGCAAAAGAATTCTTTCATCCACCTTCTGTATCCCCAGAGCCAAGCACAGCCCCTGCCCTGTCATTAGCTTAAGCACTCAGTGAGCGGACACTGATAAAGGTCTGGTGCAGCACATTGCTCTGTCACCTCTGGTAGGAAGGATATGGAATGATGGGAATGAGAACTAGAGGAAATGCTGTAATGGGGAGGAAGGTCAAATAGGTGGGAAAGGAATTTTTAAAATTAGTTTCTCATATAGGGCCTCTCGGTCTGGAATATTTTCAAAGAAGATAAAGGTGCAGGAGTGTGTGGACTGAAGGTTCACCCCTGAATCCGCTCTGTGCAGCATTAGACTGGTTTTCTTGACCCAAATAAGGAGTCAGGGCACTGTACTCCCTGTATGTAAACACTGAGTAAATACATCACAAGACCTGTGGTTGATAAACTAGTTTGAGTTCTGTTCTGTGTCTGGAAATGAAGGGATCCTGACTCTACATACATTGGAGGGGATTTTACGGTGCTCATTTGTTAAAACATCGGGCTAGTGGGTGACAAATACATATTTGAGTGTTTTGGCTGCCTGTTTTGTCATGTTTGTGTGGCTGGCGGGTAGAAGCCTGCCACCTCTGACATCAACAGATGGTGAATGGTCCAAATCGAGCAACCACTGTCGCCCGTCTCCTGAATGCTGAAATGGGGCTGGGGTGGGTATAATCCACAGGTAGGGAAATCAGACTCTTTCCCTGTGAGTGACACACACACATGAGCGAGAAATTCCTTACCTATGGGAATTTACTAAGAAGGGGGATGGGATTCGAGGCCTTTGGCGGTCATTTCCTGTTTTCTCCTGCCAAATGGGGGCTGCCTCTGAGAGACGAGGAGAACAAGACCAACGTACCCTAGTGAGCAGAGCGGTGGAGAGAGAGCTCCAGCGGCCTCTGGGGACCCTGAGTGTCAAGGCAGTTTACTCCTTGGACTTCCCACTATGTCATGGGTCAGAAATATTCTTTCTTGTATAAACTAGTTTGTCCTTGGAAGTGAATGGATCTGAATATATGTGATGTAGAGGCTTTTAATTTTCTGGTTTTTGGAAACTAATTGAAGCATCAAAACAGTGTGATAGAAAAATCACGTGACAGCACAGGGTAGATTGTATTTGTTCAGCCAGTGTTCACACCCATGCCCCCCCACCCCACTTTGGGAAGTATATTCTTAACTCCTAGTTTAGGGCTGGTTGGCCTATGACCTGGTCTGTTTAGCCCCTGGAATGTGGTGGGAGCGTCTGTGTGCTGGGGAAGCACAGAAGCTTCCAGCCCTCAGACACTTCTGCCTTCCACCTTCAGACAGTAGGGAGCAGAGAGAGGACACTCCTCAGTCTGGGCCGTGGTGAGCACACAGGCAAAGTAGACAGAAGCCACTCTGCAGCCTGTACAGTGAGAACCCCCGGGACGTGGGGTTCATCCCAGGGAAAGCAGACGCGTGGGGAGAGACGCCCCGGGCAGGAGCGCCATCCTTTCCACCAGCGTTCATCAATTCAGCTACGCCGTATTCCAGGGAAACACACTTCCCTCCACTGCTACCATCTACTAGTGGGTGGACGAGAGTGGGGATAAGTGAAGCAAATTCCTAATTTTAGTGCACCGTGATAAGAGCAGGTAGGAGGAGGAAGGTGACTGTTTGGGCGAGGGAGCTGTTGCTAGAAGGCAGGAAGGTAGAAGGACGTAGGTAGTTGCTTGGTCCAGGACCAGAGAATAATGGTTCACTGCTTAACCAGGGCTGAGAGGCCGTCCATCAGACACGTGTAGATTATGTGAGTCTCTGGTAGATACACCCGGCAGCAGAGCCCTTTGGAGGACTGCCATCTCATAAGCTTTACATGGCATTTTAGATTTGTTTGGGGCTATAAAAAATTAAGTTTAATTAAATGTAATTAATTTTGTTACACAACATTTGAAATATGCTGAACATGGAAAGTCATCTCTGTGACTGTCAGAGGCTGCCAGAAGCTGCAGATGTTCCTGGAAGCAGGGACGGGGAGAGGTGAGGTCGTGGCATAGGTAAAGGGGGAAGAGGCTGCCGCTGACGTTTAAAGCCCTGTTCCCTGTCTTTGAAGTCCACTTTAAGCAGACAGGTGACTGCCATCGTGGGATTTTCTTCTGCAGCCCCTGCTAACCAGATGGCCCAAGGCCTGCTGGTCCCAGTGCCTGCTGAATCGGGAATGGCTGCTGACCCGTTAGCCTGTGAGGGAGGCTGGTGTGCAAAGCTCTGCTCCGACAGCCAAATTGAGTAACTTACTTTCAGAAACTGAAATGCAGGTGGTGATCAAAAGGGAAGGTTGTGAGATAGACCAGGGAGCACATGATAGGCAAAAAGGACTCAAATTAGGAGTTAGTCAGAGCTGGAAGTGAAAAAGAACTCTGGCAAAAAGATAAAAGGGGAAGGGACCCAAGTGGTCTTAGAACCAGAAGAATTGTGTGGAGAGCAGTGAATCGTGGTTAGGGCCTCTGGCCAAGACCTGCCGAGCCTGGTTGTTGCCATCTCTCAGATTTAAAGGGACCCTCTAGTTCCTGAGCCTTAACCTGCTGGGGGCAGAAGGGGAGTGTCTTAAATTGCT